GTAGCCTCTCCCTCGCTATAGCTGTCCACAACAGCATTAATGTGACCCAAAGACTCCCCGAATCGCGCGAGCCGTTACTGCAGGGCAGGGTTGCGGGTGTTGGGCTAGCAGTGGAAGGACGAAATGGCCGACGGAAAAAGATCAACGTTTTTGCCTGCTACGGACCCTCAGGAGCACTCGCCCACCAAGCAGGAGATCTACATGGGTTCTGGCAGAAGCTGGCACAACACATACCTCGCGACAAAGACTGGATTCTCGGCGGTGACATGAATGCTAGTCTCAATCTATGGGAACACGCAGGCTACTCCCGAAGTTACGAGCAGAGAGATATTCCGGTTCAGCGGACGGCATACCGCTCCTTCCTGCATCAGGTCGACGGGACCGACGTATGGGATACCGCTCATCGAATTTACGCTAACAGGGACTGGACCTTTCGCACGCGAGAAGGCAGCCGCAGAATAATTGATCGCTTTGTTACGAACAGAAACATCGCATGCTCTTCAGTACGTACGATACCAGACTTAATCCCTGCCACCGCGCACAGGGCGGCGATCGCACACCTCAAGATAGATGTCCTCTTACCAGCACCGGGATCGCTGGACAATCTAGCACCTCCCAGACTGAAGCAACCCAAGCCGGCGGATGCCAAGGCGGCCTTCTCGAGATTTGGCACTCGTCTGGGATCAGCTCTTCAGCCTCTGGAACCCGACTATGCCCTGATCACGGATTCCGACTACGACAACCTTCTCTCTCAATGCCACCATACTTTTACACATGCTTGTGAGAAGACATTCGCGCGCGGAAAACCTAGACCTGTGAATCCTTCACTCTACACAAAGCCAACACCTGAAGCAATCAGGCTGGTGAAGCGCTTACGAGCGGCAAACAGACTGTGTCGTGCGGCAGCTGAAGACAGACTGGAGGATACAGTTAACGCGCATCCCGAACTCGCAGACGAACTGCAGAGGGTGGAAGCTGCCACACCCTCTCGAGCGATCTTAAGTGAGCATCGCAATGATTTAAGAAAAGCCATGCGCAAAGCACGATGGAGCCCTAATTATGCGCCATCGTCTGAAGAGCTGACGGAGCGTTACAAGAGAGCCTTGAAAGGCGGCCCTCTGAAATACCTCTTTGACCCCAAGACCATCACCAAGCCTCCAATCCTGATAGATAGACGTCCAGAGGGTACTGATGAGGACAATTCAGAACCGAGTGTGGTATCACGGCCTGACCTTAAACGCCAAGTCTGGACTAGGCATTTTGAAAATCTCCTGACACGACGCCCTACGCCAGATCCCACCATACCCCGCCCATGGCTCACCAGTTCGGCGGCCCGTCATTTCCAAGGGACAGTCCAGACTGCCGGCTCTCGTTTCAACTGGCCTAAACCCATGACGCTGACGGATCTCCGGCGAGTGCTGGCGAAAGGCAACCCTCGACCTTCACCTGGCCCGGATGGCTGGGAGAAATGGGCTGTCCGTGTGGCTCCAGAGGCTTTCCTCCAGCGACTAGTTGCTCTGTGCAATTACACTATCACGAGGGATTATTTCCCACCAGCACTGAAACAAAACTACATAGCCCCGCTCCACAAGAGAGGTGATATCACAGACCCAGACAATTATCGGGGCATTGTCTTTGCTAACTGTCTTCACAATATCATCGCATCTTGGTTAACCATGTACTTACAAGAGACTGCCTGGCACTTCGAATTGCTCCCGTCCACGCAAATTGCCACACAAAAAGGTACACGCGCCGCAGACCTCACTCATTTTCTTGCACAGATGGACTGTGTAGCTCGCCTTCAAGACACCACCGTGTATGCTATCAAACGGGATCACACCAACGGCTTTGACTACTTGTCTCCTCAAGCCTTCAAAGACGCGATAACCTTTTTCGGCCTGCCCCAAGCGCTTGTCAACTTTGAGCACGCAAGGAGTCAGAACGTCAGTCTCCGTGTAAAATCCCATGATGGCATTGGTGAGGCCTTTCTCACGAATGGCCAGACCAAACAAGGCGATCCAGCTAGCCCCATCAAGTACACCCTGGCCATGGCGATGGTTACGCACTGGCTTCTTCACACGCACAACCCGGCGGATATACCACTACTTCGCTCTCGGAACAGCCACATTGAGCAGTACCACACGACTGCAGACAGACTCCAAGTTCCTTTGGTCAGTGTGGAAGCCATGGATGATTCCATTTTCTTTAGCTCTTCTTGGGAAGGCCTCAAGCGCATAGTCACGCGTAGCGAGCAATTTCAGAGGGCATATGGTATTGAGACAGCCTGGGATAGCCCTGACAAGACTGCGTGTTTCACTTTCGGGGCAGCGCCCAGAGATCCCCCTACTCACGACGAAGGCAACGAAGCTTACGTGCGGTTTGCGATTAATGGCCAGATTCACCGTGTTCCCTACTCGACGACTCCGGAGATCCTACGCACACGTATCAACGAGCCACTACCCACCCTCGACAAGATATTAGCCATTGTTGATGCAATACCATTCCCTCCCCAAAACGGCTTGCCACTCTCGTTACTCCGCAAGGCGGCATGGGCAGTAATGCTCCCGGCGATAAGACCGCGACTGGAGTTGCAACCTCTATCGCCTGGAGATGCCATCAAAGTCGACCAGGCAATTACACGCAAGGTGGCACACTGCATGAACTGGGAATACACTACCAGTCCTATACTATCGCTACCCATCAACAAGCATGGCTTTGGATTCCCGTCTATATACCGCATCAACGGGGAAATTGCTATCAACATGATCGTGCGTTCCTTGAATCACCACTTACCAGCTATCCGCGACATGGCCCGGATAAGTCTGGCGAACTGGGAGTGTTACAAAAGCGGGTGTGCTAATCCTCTGGAACAAGCACTACCAGGCAGTCAGCGACGAACAACAGCGAGGCCGAGTTCCCGCCATCTGCCTGCTGCATGGATCTTTGCCAAAAAGTACCTTGATGTCACTCGGCTCTCCATTTTAGCCACAAATCAGACCGGCCTCGGTGACGGTAGCGCCTCCTTGTATCACTTGGCGACAAAGGCAAACAGCAACAGGAGGGCTTGGACCATGGGGATATCATCTGGCGACTGGGTGTCCGCGGGCGTAGACACGGCCACCCCCATCAACGACATTCTCACCACTCTAGCTGAACGAGCCTCTCATGGCGAGGAACTAGCAGCCTGGATCCTGGCCACTTTGTCAAATTCGGGCCTTCAGGACGCTCTGGTAACCTGGGACAGATCATCTCATCGGCCCATCCATGAGAGAAAGAAAATTCTTGCCGCCACAATACGGAGCGCGACACTGAGGACCAGGCATGCAGGGGCTCGAGCGCCTGATATATGGGCATCAGACGGCAGCCACATCCATTGCACCACTGAGACTGGGCTGCCAAGCACCACAGCCATTGTAACAGGACCGACCACAACAAGACTCCAGCTAGTAGGGCAAGTTTCTACCTCGGCTCACGGAGAGATTGTCGCTTTAATTGCTGCTATACAAGCCACCCAGTCATCACGCGTGCCAGACCCCAAAATCCTCACTGACTACTTAGGCGGACTTCGGGCCGTCCAAGACATCCGCACGCCAGACTTCAACCAGGACACATGGCGTAGCCGCAAGCAAGGAGCCCTGTATCGATGGCTTGCTCACACAGTGACAGCAGGCAAGAGGCGGGTCCCAACCATCACCCACGTCAAGGCACACACCGACGAGAAGGACTCAAACTCAATATTGAACGATCGTGCAGACAAAGTGGCAAAGGCTACACACAACAAGAATCCCACCAAGGGCGTTGCAAGACTCGGTCCCGCAACAGCATTCATGGCCCCATTCGTTCCGTACCACCATGAGCATGGCTACGCGCCCGACGAATGGCCAGGCATAACCGAAACAAAGCTGATAGAACAGCAGCTGACAAAGATGACAGTGGCTATGCGGCTACGGCTTTCGGATGGGTCATCCCGCCTGGAACTTCCGACGCCAGGTCACTTCTACACAAGCTCGGCCGCCTCGTATCTAGTCAAAATTCAATATCACGCTCGGGTGGGTATGCTCTGGTGCGACTATAGCAGCTGGAGACAGGGAACACAAGAGTCACCAGCCTGCAGACTTTGCGGAGCCTCGATTGGGGATCTCAATCATGTATTTCTGCACTGTCCCAATCTACGCAGTGTCAGGGATGAGGCTGCGGCCAAACGCAGCCGGGCCCGGAAACGATCCGGCATGTTCACGAGCGCTAACACCGAACAGCAAACACCTGCCGAATCAACGACAATTCCGGAGTCTGATCTACTACACGCCTGGCAGCAATATATCAACGACATCACCTATCCCGCGAACGAAGACGAGCCTCACTCGCCGCGCTATTGGCTGGGTCTACCGGGACCTGCGCCGGCGCCCTTGGGAGAGGAGGACGAGAGGGAGGCTCACAATTATTGTATTCATCTGGCGGGACGCGTATACGGCAAGTACAGCATGATTCGCACACAGATGCGACGCCATGAGGAAAAGGAAGCAAAGAAGATGGACGCTGACATTAGGTACAATGACGACGGGCGTTATACCCACGAAACCGAGTACGATGACGACAACCATGACCACATTGCGCACATCGAGGTCCTAGCAGATTCCCCTTTGACTCTAGACTCCATCGACGAAACCCCAGACAATTTCCCATCCGCATCGGTGTCTATCGCAGGTGACGAAGCCGGCGGCAACTCGGACGTGGTGATCGGCAAGAGACGCAGATCAGATGACGACGAGGGATCAGCGAGGGTGAAACGGAGCGAGGGATCAGCGAGTGTGAAACGGAGCGAGGGATCAGCGAGTGTGAAACGGAGGGCGATCAGACAAAGAAGGAGAGATCAGTCTGTGCGTTGACAGGCATGGGAGCAGTGTCCCGGATAAGGGAAAACAAGACACGGCGATCTTATATAAGGTTGCTTAGAGATCTGAGCTAAGCTCGGGCCGCCACTCATGGTGCCTGAAATGAATGCCCGCGTGACCTAGTGGTATGGTGTTACACTACGAATTTCAGTGGTTCTGTGGCATGTAGAAGTCGCGGTTTCGAATACCGCCGTGGGTTGATCTTTTTGAACGATTTCTTTTTGTTTTTCGCGATACGCGCCTGAATTATGAATTATCATGAATTCTCCAATCTTTGACTTTTCTTTGTATAAGAATGCCGACCCTTGGCCCTTCAATTCTTTTTGCTGCTGGTCTCACCTTGGGCGTCGGTGCTGGGGTCCTGTACCCTCGCAGAACCACCTCGAGCGATGTTCAGATACCCCCGCCGCCCCCGGAAGGCGGACGGGATGTCGCAAGGTCGCCCGTAAAGACTGCGTCAGGAAGTGCGGTCGTTGTGCAGGGAGGTTTTCCAGGTGAGAGATCACTGAGAGTTGGTCTGACCGAGTAGGGCCGATTGCGGATGTGGTGAAGCGCACGGCATATACGGCTGCTTATGATCGGAGATTGAGGCATCCTGCATGGGTACGCTCTGCCTAGACGTTGCAACGCTAAAGTATGCAGACCGCTGAGCACCTGACTGCTGCTTCACTCGCTCGTACCCCATCTCCGTCGTCCCCAAACACCCAGCCTGTCCCATTAGATGCAGCTCGTGCAGCTGATACGACGCCTGACCCCCCTGTGAAGGCCGACCGATCGCGAAGCACGTTCATGGAGGACGAGACGATCCCCGAGCTATTCCGTGCAAAGCTTGCAGATTGTGAGTGTATTGACATGCTTGAGGCTTATAGGCATAGACTTCAGGAGTGGATATGATCGAGGACACATGTGGGTCTTTGTCAATAGGTCGAGCTGATTTGTGAAGGGTGCCAGCTGCAGACGCCAAAATTTCACAGCAGGCTATGGACGAGACGTTCTTCTTGACGAATATCGCACCGCAAGTTGGAGAGGGTTTTAATCGTCATTGTATGTTCCTGCCAGTGCTGTGGGCTCATAGTAGATTGGGCATACCTCGAGGATTTCTGTCGACGTCTCACAACGAATTTCGAAGACGTCTACGTCTTTACGTGTGTACCGCGCCCCTTGCATCCGCTGACGAATATAGCGTCCCACTCTATGTCCCTACTCTGCATCCAGACGGCAAGTACCGCGTCACGTACGAGGTCATTGGCGACCCACCTTCCGTCTCTGTACCTACCCACTTTGCCAAAGTCATCCTTGCCTCTCGCCCAGACTTTTCATACCCCCAACGAGCATCTGCAAGCGACAAAGCTATCTCGTCTTCCAACTCTGTCAAAGAGCTGGCCATGGGAGCCTTTGTCTTGCCCAACAAGGAGATAGCAGACGAAGCGGACCTGAGAAGCTTCATCGTACCTGGTACGCGATTCGTGCGGTTCAGAGCTGATACATAGTTGAGCATGTCGAGAAGACTGCTGGGTTGCAGCTGTTCAATCCAGAACTCAAGAGTAGATCCAGACAGCTTTGCGCGGTCACTCAATGTCAACTCGTGGTCAGGCGATTTGACGATGCCAGAAAGAGCTATGGAAAAGGTCAGAAGGGTTCTCAAGGAAGAGGTGGTCGATAGTCACAAGCATTACAACCATACCATGCATTCATTAGCTCTTATAGCCAAGGTTTCGGGTTCCATGCATCAAAGCATTCAGTAGCCGCCAAGTACCTGACTTCCGGCTTGGCGCGCTCGTATCTCGACGTCTCTTCCACCTCTTCATCCTCAATGCCACCATTACTCTTTCCCCTGCCGACGACCTCCATCCTGACATTCTCGGCTATCCTCGTAGACCCCTCATCCTCACATACAACGGCCCTTGCCGATGCAACTGCAGCTCGGACCAAGCTCTTTCTAGCCCTCAAGGCTGAAGGCAGCGCTCTTGCGGTCGTCGATGTGAGTTCCCCATGCAATTAAGCTAACGTTAGGCTGTGCAAGGGTATCTACCTACTCTGAGAGGGATCATCGAATGCCTCGATTCAGACGAACTCCTCCTCAAGGGAGACCCTAGTGCGTCCTGTTGATGAAAGTGTATTAACTCGATAGCCTTTCCATGGCGGTCTCCATTAACCCACTACACGTCCACAGCACCGCTCCTTCCCCTGCCCTCGATCCACTCCGAGTATCTGTTCGTCGTCCTCACTTACATTCTGGCACTATCAAACTATGCCCATTCCATCCTCGCCTCTCTGCCGACCTTTGACCAGGGCTCACGATCAAGCATTACGACAGAAGACGAGAAGAAGACGACGGCAGGTCTCGCTCGGGCTGTCGATCTTCTTTGTCAGGCGGCCGGCATTGCACAATGGGCTGCAGAGAATGTCATGCCTCTCGTTGAGCCTGTCAGAGTCGCCGCGGGCGGAAGAGCTGGCAAGAATAAATGGCCTGTCGAGGCGGGTTCCGAAGCCTTCAGGGGTCTAGCCATGCAAGTTTTGCTTTACGCTGCTGAGGTCTTGCTGAAGATGTTAGGACCCTGCTCGCTGATGCGCATGTCACTGCTATCCGCAAACTGTTGCTTCCCGTTCTTTCGCATACCCTCTTTGCGCCTCCTGGACCGCCGCTTCCGACAAATCATCCGTCCGCTTCATTACTAGCCAAACTGTACCTACACATTTCGACGCTCTACACCTCTGCACGAGCGACATTCAAACTACCCTCGCGACAACTACTCAAGTCTTCAGACAAGGCTGCCGAGCCTGACAACGTCGAGGGCGAGGTCATTGCACCTTTCAAGCGGTATCTAAGGAAAGAATCACAGCTCGCTGAGGCTCTTGCTCACAAGTGGCTTGGGGTGGATGCGGGGGAGAATAGCAAGGGTTCGAGGATTGGAGAGGCGGTCGCGTGGACTAGGGACGCACAAACGAGACTGTCCGAGATGGAGGATGGGGCTGTGAGGGAGAAGATGAAGGCTTTGGGGTTGGGCAAGGGGAATGAACGGAAGAAGGAGGAGAGGAAAGCGAGGAAGGGCAGAGTCGAGAGGGAGTTGGAGGATGTGCAGGCTTGGGTCAGAGTGTACACGAGGATGAACGACACGGTGAGTGCATCAGTGTATCCCAGCTGACGTTCAGGTGTCTTTCCAGCCAATACCAGCCGTGGCATCGCTTAATGTGCCCAGTGGGAGGCCAATTTTCACTGCAAAAGCCTTTGTTCCCCCGCCGCCGAAGCTGGGGACGACGCGGACGTCAGATCCTAGTGATGACTCCTATGCGGGCCAGGGCAACTATTATTGATCATACATATGCACCCAATCGTCTCGCCAACTTCCTCTTGCGAACTTTGACTCAGACTCCCGCAGAAGTCGTACGGGGCATGGCGTTGTCCTTCTGCTGCCATGGTGCCAAGTTTCCCTCGCTGCGGCGCCGCATCTCTCCTCCGAGAACACACACCATGCGCCGCGCCTCGTCGATCGCGTCGTCAAGTGGTGCTGTGTCGAGGGCGTGAGCGGCTGGGCCCCCGTATTCGAACTCCTCGGCAGAATGCATGTGAGCAGCTTCGAGGGCTTCCATGCGGCGAGAAAGCTCGTACAGCCATTGACTGCGGGCGAGCTCGATCTGAGGGGCGGGAAAGGCTGCATAGTCAGCATGAGGTGGCAAATCTTCTGTGAAAGTCTTACGAGTAAGGTCGGTGAGAGGTTCGCGGATGAGCATGACGGACTGCATGGTGTGATGGTGATGTATGGATGTGATGACTGTGTGAGGTGCTTGCTGCTTACCAAGAGGTCATGCTGCAGCTTCTTATATGCCTGGCCGCGATCCTCAAAGGATCAGGCAAGTCTCCTGCAGAAGCTAGTGGTGTGAAACGCGTAGGATGCTTCCTTTGCCGGGAGCAGTGACCGTCTGGTGTATCGGCCGTTTTCGTCCGTATCAAGGGAGTGGAGTCTGGCCGGAAGTATCCTTGCTTTCCTTGATGCGTAATGAACAATGGTGAAACACCAGTCTGGATCGCAATGGGCCAATCTTCAGGTCTAATCAGGCAGCGCTGACATCACCGCTTACTGATCCTCTTTCGTCCTGCATTCAAATTGCCACCTGGGCTGTGTTGTAATCGCGAACTAGCCCGATAAATTAACATTCCTGAAACCCCTACACTACACCGATTGCTTGATAATCGCATGCGGACTAAGAGGCCGGACATCCTATGGTGTTGATTTTGATTTTGCCACCCGACACGTGTCAAACTACTGTGTTGATTTCGACGCGCCTTTCACTTGATCATCACCTTGCACCATGGTAAGTGGCCTTGAAGGAGTGAAAGCTTACTGGTAGGCTACGAAAGCAGCACAATTAGGTCTTGGTCAAGCCTCGACGGTACCGAAAAAGTCTTCGGTAGACCGACGCGAGCCATCTGGAGGCGCATTTACGATGTTTACTGGGCCTCAGGTCAAGCAGTTCAAAGAAGCGTTCAATATGATTGATCAGGATGGAGATGGGCGTGTGACCGAGTCTGACCTGAAGATCATGTTGTCCAATCTAGGTATGTCGATCAACTCCCTCAAGCACCACTGCATTGAGTTTGAAGATGGAGACTGATATTTTACAGGTCAAACACCCACTTCAACATTACTAGATAACCTACTGTCAACACGTCAGGGGAACGATAAATCGCAAGGAATAAACTTTACTCAATTCCTCACGATGATGGGAGAACATCTACTGGAATTGGACCCAGAGCAAGATCTCATAGATGCCTTTGCATGCTTTGATGACGGTGATAAAGGTTTTGTGGGAGTGGCAGAGATGAGGAAATATCTAGGCGAGATGGGTGATAGGATGGATGATCGCGAAGTGAGTTGAAATCTCGAAGACAGTCTGGGTCCGAAAAGACACTCTGGAATGAAGGGTTTTGCAGCGGAATGCATAAGCGTCACCTGCATCATGGCTGACAGAAAACCAGATCGACCGTCTCTTCTCTGGCCAATTCACAGATCGTCAAGGCCGATTCAACTATCTCGAATTCGCCAAAGTGCTCAAAGTCAACGACGGTGAACCAGAGCGAGACGACAAGCTCGTATCATGATAGCTAGAACCGATCTGTTGTAATGTGAAAATGCAATGACTATCTAATGCGCAAGCCAGAGATCTACTGCCTCCTGTGCACTATCCAACTTCCAGCCC